ACGGTGCAGCGCTGGATCGTTTGAAGCAACAGCGCGACCACTGCACCCTCCGCCTCCGCCGTCTCCGTCGTTTCGCAGTGGAGGCCATCGCTTTGGAGTTTCGAGCGAAGCCTGCCGGGAGCGAGCTGCGAGCGAGTCAGGACAGCGCCGCTGGTGCGAACCCTCCGAGATGACTCCGATTACATGCCACCACCTGGGGCGCGGCGCAGCCAAAACAGGCCCATAAATACTGGGTCTCAGCTGCGCCTCCCGCCACCGTCGGGTATTCGATACCGTACCTGGTCCTCTGGGCCGCGCCGAGAACGGAACACGATGCTCCGGGAACGGAACATGCTACCTCGGGGCTTGTCTTGTATCTGCGGAACAGCCGCTGCACTGCTGCAGGGAGGTGGTGTTTTCTGATGCCACAGTTCCAGGGAATCGGTGCCGGGAGTGTTGAAATGTGGCGGACAGTCATTGAGTTTGTTTACTGTTTTGGACAAAGTTGACGCGTTCCTGGAAGTTGATGAGAAATCCGCTAGTCGTCCCGCTGCTTTACAGATAAAACTTGCTTCGGAAGCTGGTTACATTCTAATAGCTAGTCACCGTGGCCGGTTGACGGCCATTTGTGGCTTTTCCGTGTCACGTCAAGTGTTCTGAAAGTCTGTAATAAAACATGTTTTCTACTATCCCTGGCGTCGGATGGTCAATTAAAAATTTCTTAGATATAACTCGTCATACGGTTCTTATCTCTCCGCCTTTCCTATTCTAGCCCGTTCTCACCTCTCTCCTCCCATTCCGTCTGGTTCCCACCTCTCTACCCCTCTCCTCTCCAACCCTATCCGTTTCGCTCCCATTCCCTCCTATCCCGACTCCGGTACCAGCCGGCACGGAAGAGTGGGAGGAGAGGCGGCCGAGTGATTTATCGTCTGAGGCCTGTCGGCGGGCCGATTTTAAAGAATGCACCTCGCGAGGGGGCCGCATCTGCTGCCCGTTGCCGGGGTGATGGATAGTTAGTCGCAGCCGAATTTATTGCCCGATCGACGCGGCCGACGATAAATTTTGCCCGCGGCTCAGACACCCAAAAAGTGGTGCTGCACTGTCTCTTTGTTGGTGTTTGTTGCTCATGGTGGCTAGATCAAACGGGGCGATTAAGACGACTTCCTGATCAGTGGTCATGCGTACTACTTCAGAACCATGGTTTCATGGATTCGATTGCGCAGTGACCAAACAGCCTGACCGATGAGTTTTTGCAAAACGGATTTGTATGAGCTGAAGGCTCGTATAGGTAGGCACCAGGCAGACTTGTACAATGTGTAAGCTCAGGTGTCTTGGAGCTGGCGCTTCCAGTTAAATGGGTATACTTAATTAATGTTTTTGTCATGCGGTATCCTCCATGTTTCATTTTTACCTAACTTAGGTATCTCTTGTTCTGACTGACATTACATACCTATATGTTGCACTTTGTGCTTAATTGCACACTCAGGAATTATCGGGTTGAAACAATTTAATCATTTATTGCACGTTTTACATAATCGCCAAAGCGAAAAGCATCAAAAGAACGCCTATGGGATTTAACGTTAAGGTAGACGCGATCAGCCTGTTTTTTCCTCATTGTTTTATTGAATTAATGAATGGGAAATTATAAGAAATTGCTAATACTTCGATGAGAGTATTCATGAAATCAAATCAGATGAACCAAGGCACAGACCAAGGGTAACTTCAAAGACGCTATAGAAATCAGTGAACATATTCGATATTTCATAATTATTTCTAATTCCATTGTATTTCATTGTAGTTTTTCAAATATATTTTGGTAAATCATTCACCATAATTTGTTTTTATCTATCCAAAGCTAATTTTGTTAGAATATTAAAAAGACAGGCTGTAAACATGCGTTCAACGCTACTGGAAAATGCGTTCATTTTTTTATTGTCATATGCAAGGGAGGGCAATAATCACATTATGGCGTTGTCCCGCAAAAGTTATAAATGATAGTTCCAAGTCGGGGTATTCTGCTCGCTAAGCTGACTGCTCTGTGTTAAATCCCCGTAGATTTATCAAACTGGGTAGCAGGTGGCTAATTCTGCACCGTGTTATATGAGCAAGGTGAGCAGCCTCAGGGATGACGTGGCATACAAATGAAGAGAACAATGTGCGGCATAGTGGGCTAGGCTCAGTGTGCTCTGAAATAGGAGTAAGCTATTTGCGGCTATCACCCAGGTGTACTGCTTTTAGCTAAAATACGGTTGAATTTTGAGAAAATCGTTTTTTTTTTGCGCACTTCTGCTTTGTTTGGTCATGAGTTTTCGGTCCAATAAGATCATTACAATGAAGGATGAGAGGTTTGTGGGAAAACATTTTGGCTGAACGTACCACCGACTGGTGCACCGCAGCGGATGAGCTTGTATTGTTCAGACAGGGGTGCCCCAAGTGGGGAAAGTCACCTAGCCACTCGAACGATTTCTCCGGAGTGGTATGTCCCTATTGGAGCTTCCCTTCGCGGTTGTCTGGGTGGTGTGACCGTCTGCTGTGAAGTCAGGTAAAAAAAATTGACTGTAGGTTGGGCTGGTCCTAAGGATCAGGATGGAAAGGATGCATCCTTTCATGGATCACGGACGACGTCGGAAACTCTATCGGGAACCGTTTGCATTCACATGGATAGTGCGGACTGCGGTGGCGAACGACGGTTTAAAACGACATGGTTCGTCCTATGAATGCAGATAAGATCAATCCAAAACGTTAAACTATGATCAATTATTTGGTTTAGTCATGTCTACCAATGTATTTACGAGGGTGTGATGCAGGGAGCAATGTTGCACTCCGCGCTTGCCACCGCGGTGGCTGCCGCTCGCGGTAGTTCCCAGTCTGCCCACCCCGCGGCGCTGCGGTCGCTGCCGTCTGCTGCCGCCGCGGCCGTCAGTTGGTGTGGTGGTGTCGCGACCGAGGGAGCGGAATACCGAGATCCACAGCAGTCCGGACCGTGGCAGGGTCAGTGACTGACCGGTCAGAGAGGTCACAGTGTGAGGGGTCACGTGACTGTGAGACCGATCACGTATAGCGGCCGGTGTGTCTGAACGGAGTGGCAACAAAACACACGACTGATTGTGTTTGTGCGTGAGGACGACATTTGACGACATTCCTATCCGGAGGAGACGAGCCTCAGAACTTGCGGCGTCGTTTCCGCGGAAGAACGTTGACTTCTCACGGCCGACCACAGGCGGGTAAGTTACGAGCCCGCCCAAATCGAGCGCTAACTCTGCCACAGTCGAATCCAGCACGTAATTTGATAGCTCGGAATGGCCGCCGTCTCCGGGGGGTCGTTTGGCTCACCAATCTCATCTGAGTAACTCACCACCGGGAGATTCACGGGGAACACTCACGCGCCGGGAGACGCCGGCGTCGCCTACCTGCCGGCGTAGAACCCAGTGACACCGCCGCGCTGGTTATTGGTTGGGCGGTCGGGTCCCGCTGCGACGCCGTGCCATGAAGGGGAGGGGGGGGGGCAGGGATGGGGAAGGTGGCACGGTAGGCGGACTTGTCATCGCGGAGATTGACGTTGTGAAAGACGATATAGTGATGACGTGTGCCCGAAGACCAGTGACAGCGTGTCGCGTGCTGACGGTGTTACAGGGGAGGGAGGGGAATTCAGAACAAGGCTTCAAGGTTGTGGAAAACACCCAACATGCTCACGATACCTATGCATTCACTAATCAGTAATCACTATGTTCAAGCTTTGTTGCAGCAGGCAACTATTGTTTGAATAGAGCAGGCGATAATACTGACCGCATTGTGCATAAGGCTGCTTTTACATGTATTTAGTATGTACCTCCTATTTTATGAAACTCATATTTGAAGAAGAGAACAAACGTGGGTTATTTCGGTCTCTCTCTCATCTCAACCCTAATCAGCGCCGCTTATGTAGTCTAATACAGCGGCTGTTCCCCGGCCGCGTCCATGTGATGACAGCGGCGTCGGTGGTCGCGCCGGCGTCCCCGTGGGTATGTGTCTGCACCTGGTCAGGAGACCTCGGCCGGATGGTGGAACGAGTGGTTTCGGCGTCAGTAATGACCCTAATCTGCCTCCCGCTGCAGTCCTGCTGACGAGCCGGCCGGCCAGCCATTAGCCGCTGCCGACCGTCGGGAGATGTGCAGCCAGAACAAAGAGCCCTGATGTCAGACGATGGTGAGAACGGGCTCCGAATCGCCCACCACACCCTGAAATATCGCGGCCCGCATTAAATGATTAATAAAGTGGGTGTAGTGGGAGGGCAATAGGCTCTCATGGCCCGTTTATATTTAGTTCGCTCGGTACACCACCTTGCAGGTTCCCACCTACAAACATCAGAGTTCTCTTTCCACGACATTCTCAGCTCTCGATCACGAAGAGCCAGGCGCGGACAGTTGTGACATTTCACGTGGGCGGCGGAGTTTCCAGCGCACACTGCGCCTCTCTGCGGTCGCGGCCGGTCTAGTCACATGACATCATCACATTAGAGGTGATTAGATCAGCCGGCGGCGTCTGACCCTCCTGACCCTGCCGGGGGATCGGCAACCCGCCGAGGAGCGGCCCGGCCGGCCCGGCGTGGCCAATTAATAATACAGTGAGCCTGTCGGCCTGCGGTATGAACCGCGATAGAGTGCTGTCATGAACCGGCACCTGTGAGAGCCGTGTGTTGGCTGAGAGCTCCATACTGCTGCAACGAGAACGAGGACTCATCAACCTTGTCTGATCTAGAATATGGGGACAATCAAACGTCATTTGGGTCCTCCTCGAGGTTCTAGCTTCAGTTGATGCTTTGTGGACGTTTGTTTGTTTGTTTATTTGTTTATTTATTTTCGATCATGGACATGCATTGTGAGATGATGATACAGATGGATTGGCTCCCACCTCTCTACCCCTTTCCTCTCCAACCCGTTCCGTTTCGCACCTGTGCCAGAGTGCTGTCATGAACCGGCACCTGTGAGAGCCGGACGAAGGTCGTCCGACGTGGAGAACCTGTAGTAATGCAAAAAGTCCAGTACACTCAGATGCCTCTATTCACACCCGTACCCGCTCGTGTCCCGGAGCGCACTGCCCGGCTTCACCACATTAGCCTAGATCATACCTCTGTACACGTCATATCACGTCATATCACGTCATTCTGAACCCTAGACAAAGGCTGATCAATTTCTCCCTCCGCCGACTCACCGTCGCCATAAGACCCTGGCTCGCAATACGACGCGCACCATCATCGCTCGAACCACGCAATGACTAAGACACAGACTACACCTCACCCTGATCCTCAAGATCATCACTTCCGCTGCTGCTGTTTAACGCATCAATCGGCACCACGTGGCCGAAGAAGTCAGGCGGCCGCCGATTACGCTGACCTCGGCGCACCACCCTTTCGCCGCTGTCGCTCTCAGACCGGCCGCATTCACCACCCGCATCATCAGCCTCCTCCACCGGGCGCCCCGGCGCGCCATCGCCCTCATAACCGAATGTCATGACGATCGGGGACCCGGCACGGTCCTCCTCCGCTTCCTGTGGGCCCCCGCTGCCCCGGTCGGGGGTCCGAGGGCCTGCTGCTGGTCCCCCGGTGTCACCGCAGTGGCGGAGGTCTCTGATGTGCCAAGGCACGCCGCCCACTTCAACCACCTGCGGCGACACCACGCCAGACACCGTTCCTCGAACCGACCGCTCGGTGCAGCGGGTGCCCGGCCGCCTCACCCACACGGCGTCCCCCACCTGGAAGTCGCCCTCCCGCCGGGCTGGCGGCCGTCCTATCACGGCCTCCTCGGACGCTCCGGCGGTAGCTCTTTGTCTCACGGCGTCCCTCACAGGGTAGCGGTAGATGCCGTTGGCGGGCGCCTCAGCCGCCGTCCCGCCGTCACGGGGCGTGATATTGTACAGGTGCACGGCCTCTCCGATGCCACACTTCTTCCGCGCCGCGATCACTTTGACACTGCGGTGGTTCCGCTCCACGATGGAGTTCCCGCTGGGGCGATGCACTGCGCGGAAACGCAGCAGCACTCCCCAGCGGGCAGCGAAAGCGGCGAACTGACGACTGCGGAAAGCGGTGTCGTTGTCCGCCAGAAGCTCAGCCGGTGCGCCTCGCTCCGCGAACACTTGTTCGAGTTCACTCGTGACTGTCGCCGCGTCCGACCGCCGCAGCAGCCTCCACACACAAAACCGTGACGGGCCACAGTCTATCACCGACAAGTAGGACTGACCACCGTAGTGCGTGACATCGATGGCCAGCCGGTCCCACGTCCCCTCCACAGCCAGCGACCCGTGCCTCCAGGTCACCGGCGCCGGGTCAACCGCGCGGCAGACGTCACAGGCCGTCACCACTTCCCTGACCACTTTCCGGGAAATCGACGATGACACATCCCGACGCGCGAAATACAGCGTTCGTCGGACACCCGGGTGACCCGCCCTGACATGTACGTCAGTGACGGCCTGTCGGAAGTCCACGGTAACGGCGCCGCCGCCGTCTCCCACTTCCGATCCAACCACTGCCGCTGCTGCCACTGGCTGTCCATCGCTCGGCCGCTGGTCCGCTGGCTGCGAGTCCTGACGCAACCACAGGGACGGCACTCGGGTCAGCGTGTCCGAACGGTTCTGAGACGAGCGGACTAGAGACACGGTGAGAGAAATGCCCAGCTCTGCGACCAGCTGCCTGATGACGTCGACCCGCCGGCGGATAAGCATCTCTCCATGTGCCTTGGTTCGCAGTCTCGCGCGCCCGCTCAGAGCGTCGCTGACCCACCGGTGAACAGTGGCGGAGTCCGTCTTCAGCTCGATGGTCTTCATGTCCCACGCCAGGGCCAGGTTGATGCCCCGCACGGCGGCGTCGAGCTCCGCCATGTTGATGTGGGTGGCCTCGTCCCGGCGGAGCCAGCACGCGTCCTCGATGACGTCACCTCCCTCGCTCTCCAGCACGACGCCGGCGGCTATCGAGCTGGCGTCCGTCCACAGTACGGCGCGGTGCCCAGTCACGCACCACTGCCCACGGGCCGGGTCCTCGCTCGCCAGTCGCTCAGCCACGTGCTTCAGCTGTTCCCGCAGGGCCGCGTCGTGTGTGACGTCATCCCACCCGCGTGTGAGAGAGTTGACACGACGCTTCAGCCACGCTGTCGCTGGTCTCAGCCAACCGCAGACCGGCAGGTGCGCCACGATACGACCACACCATGAAAACACGGAGCGCCGCGTCATTGCCGCGGGCGGTGAGCCGACTGGGTTGTCACGCCTCCAGGCCAGCCCACCCCCGACTGGCTCCACACGCAGTCCCAGCAGCCGCGCTCCGTCCGCAGCCCGCTCCGGCGGCTTACACTGGAGCCCATAGCTCGCGAAGTGGGCGATCACGCGCTCCGCGCTCACCACGTCCTCATTGACGCACAGATCGTCGACGTACGGTATGACGGCGCCCTGCATCACTGGGTCCTGTTGCAGCACCGTCCGCACCACCGCCTTCATGATGAGAGGCGCGACGTTGAGCCCGAATCCGACACGGGTAAGAGCGTACCTTTGGCCATCAATCACGACTGTCTGAAACGGCCACAGCCGACGATCGGTCCTGAGCTGCAAGTACGCCCTCTTCAGGTCGACGACGGCGACGTTGGCCCCGTGCGTACGCCCTCTTCAGGTCGACGACGGCGACGTTGGCCCCGTGCCGCCGCCATTTCCTCAGCGTGTCGGCACATACGTCAGCGTCGGCCGTGTGTGCCTCCACATGGCTGTTGAGCTCGCGGCAGTCTAAGACTGGTCGTACTTTAGTCTTGTTCTGCTGTTCAACAGCCATGAGAGGGATCAGCCCGCGCGGCGGCCCGTCCACCGTCTCGTCGTACGGCTCCAGCCAGCCGTTGTCGATCCATGTACGGAGTTCAGCATCAAACTCCTGCCGTGCCTCGGCCGGCACGCCGTACTGGGGGACACCGTTCCTCAGGCACCCTGGCTCCGCCCCGTTCCGCCACTTCCACGCCACCGTCCAGTGTTGACTTTTCGCGTCATAAGTGACCGTGAAGTCTCGCTCTTCCACGGTCAACGCCGGGGGCGTCACGGCGCTGCATCGCGGCGGCACCCCTCCCGGGCCCGGCACGGCCACGTCGGGCCTCTCGCTGGCACCGAACACCACATCGTCCGCCGCCCGCACTGTCACCCCGCCCAGCGCCGCGATGCCGGTCATCCCCACCAGCATATCCACGCCCAGTGGTTTGTCCGGCACTACCACGGCGCTGAGCGTCACCGCGGGCCCGCCGCTCTTCAGCTGAACCGCCACCTCCGTTACTCCGCTGCTTGGCAGCCGGGACCCGTTGACGGCCATTACAGTCACGCCGCACCGTCTCCAGCTCGCGCAGCACGACTCGTGGATGATGGTGCAGCTGCAGCCCGAGTCGATAACAGCCACTCTGCGCTGCCCATTCACCAGCAGCTGCACCGTCGGTAGCGCGCCTCTTACTCTTGGGCTGCCCGAGAGGAGGTTGGCGCAGACACCGCCTCTCCTGACGCGTTTCCCGGCATCCGTTCCGGGCAGCGTGCCGCGGCGTGTCCTGGCTGCTCGCACCGGAAACAGATGATGTCCGCTCTCCTCTCCGCCCGGCAGTCACGAGCGAAGTGACCGGCTCGACCGCAGCGGTAACACCGTGATGACGCCGGCGTGTGGCGGGAACGGGCCGGCGCAGCGGCGGCAGCGGCTGCAGCGACGGCATTCTCTGCCATCAGCGCCCGAGCCCGCTCCACCAGCTCGGCCAGCGTCAGGCTCTCCATGCGGCAGCCGGCCCTCAAGGTATGCCTCGCCGCATCCGGGAGACCGGCCACGAAGCCGCACATCAGCGCCGTGTCGCCGAGCCCGCCGAACAGGGAGGCCAGCCGCCGCAGGTCTGCCAGGTAGACGTCGACGCTCTCGCCGACACGAAGTCTTCTCGCCGTGAACTCCTCGTACGCCTGGAACTTATCCACAGCGAACGCCCGCAGCAGGGCAGCTTTGACGGCAGAGTACTGCAGCTTCTCCTCGGGCTTCAGCTGCTGGTAGACGCTGAAGGCTCCGCCGGTCAACCGCAGGGGGACGACGGTTTGAATGTCGGACACTCCGCGCAGCTGACAGACGAGCTCCGTCTTATCCAGCCACTCTTCCACAGAGGCGTTACCGCCATCGAACTCGGGGATTAGCCGCATGTCCAGCGCCGAACTTGCCACAGCGCTTTCCTGTGACATGGTTGCCGAAATAGCTTGTAGTAATGCAAAAAGTCCAGTACACTCAGATGCCTCTATTCACACCCGTACCCGCTCGTGTCCCGGAGCGCACTGCCCGGCTTCACCACATTAGCCTAGATCATACCTCTGTACACGTCATATCACGTCATATCACGTCATTCTGAACCCTAGACAAAGGCTGATCAATTTCTCCCTCCGCCGACTCACCGTCGCCATAAGACCCTGGCTCGCAATACGACGCGCACCATCATCGCTCGAACCACGCAATGACTAAGACACAGACTACAGAACCTTCGCGAAATAAACACCACACTGTTATCCTTGTGTGATGACCTCCATCCCTCCCCTCCCCCTCCCGACCACCGATCGGTCATAGCTTGTGACCTCACCATTCGCAGTGCCAATCGGCGCTAAAAGGCCGCTAAGTGTTCTCCCGGCGCGGTAATCTGGCCGGCGGCCGTCGGCGGGCCGAGCGTGGTCGGGCCGACCCTGCTTCGCATTCAGCAGGCGCTGGGAAGCATTAGCTCTCTATACTTCCCGGCGGCTTCCTAAGGGTGCTGCGGGGAAGGAGAGGCCCCCTGGCTGCATAAAGATTGGCGGTCACCAAAGCAGTCGTAAGGCGTCACATGCATGTGGAAGCGAATCACGTCGGGCGGAAAAGCGGGAAGTTATTCTGCTGTGGCGTGTGTGATGTGGCGTGGGGATCTTCTGGCGAAAAGATGTATCGAGATTCGCGGAAAAGCTGGTGAGATAATAACTTGTAGCCTCTCTGCTGAAGGAGGGAAGTTTGAGGTTCACAGTCGTGTCGCTCCTTTGAACTTGTTTCTGACGGGGATCACATGTTCAGTCGACAATGAGATTATAACAATACGGTCCTTGACGCTTGGACAGGCGGCCACAACTTTGGAAGAGAATTTTACAGCTATGAAGCACGGATAATTTTCGGGTTTTCAATACGCTGGTGACTGCAGTGGAAACGAGCTTATTCTGATATGGTTTTAATCCCAGAAACCCATCCATTCATGACATCAGAGTAAATTAATTAAAATACTGTTGGGTGGATTACGTCGTTTCCAGCCTGCTGGAGGCATGTTGCATTTTCTCTTAGTTTATCGCTTCCAATCCAATTCAGCGAAATGCTTGCATGTATGTTGCCATCTCATCGGCCGGGGCGATGGTTCCATGGTTTTACGGGTCATTGGCGCTGCGTTCGGCCCCGTGGCCGGCATGCAATGCTACGTGAGTCGGCTGGCAGAGTCAGGTGACCGTGCGTTCATTACCCGGAAAGGGTCGACTGTGCCGCGCCCCGCGCAGGTCGTGACCTAACTGCACGACACAGAAGGTTTGGGTGTCCTTTATGTAACTTCCGCCCGCGCTCCCGGAAGCATGCAATTGATACTTCGGAGGACTTGGATGCTTCCAGATACAAGACAGGAGTTAAACAGCTGTTGCAATAAAAGAAGGTCGTGTTGGGGCTGCACAGAAGTAAAATGGTTAGGACGTGATGCTTTACTACCAGCGGTTGTCTTGACTACCAGCGGTTGTCATGGTACGAATGTTTCTGCAAATGGACGCCATAATATTGTCTCTTCACGTCCGAAGTCTGTCATTTTTTATTGTCATGCCCGAGAAATAGATCGAGGGCCACGCTAATGGCATGGGCTGCGACTGGAATTGAATGTTGGCCGTCCTTCTGTGAAATACCATGGACTTCTTGCATGATGCCGTGACATGTTTAAATGGCCATCAATTCTGGACCGGCGAGAGATCATTTGTCCTTAAAGTGATGTGATTGCCTTGTCCAGTATGCCTACTGGCATTTCCATTGTGGCGGGCCATTTTTTGTTTGAATTTCAGCAGCTGATTGTTAATGGATGACGTGAATTGAATGATATCGCTCCGCATATGGATATGATTCGTGTATGTTTAGTGCCGCATGGCATGCCTGGTTCATACAAATTCATCTAAGGGTAGCGATCTATTCTGGGAGAGCTTTCTTTCGATCAAAACTAATGAATCTTTACAAAAGCTCCACCAACGTGCAACATTCCCAGCTACCCTTTGGCGCCCAATGGCATTTGTCTCAAGACCATATATTGGTTCCAACATCGCAAGGCTTCTATTCCAAAACGGCTGCCCTGCCGCCAGATGCTACGTGCCATTCATTCTAAAGATTGCATATTCTCCCCTCAATAATGTTAGGACTTGTGCATTCCCATTCAGCCACCAGGATTATCGAGGGGCAACACATGGCACCACGGCTACCGATATTAGCAGAAGTTGCTGTTTAAGGTGCCCAGTCCCACAGCACAGTCAGTGCCTTCCGGTAAAGTGCATCACCCAATGATTCATACACTCCGCTGGTGACCTCCCGATTGGAAAAGTTTGGTCCCAAGTGGATCAGTCGACCTCAAGAATGCCTCGTTGCCCTTAGCCCCAACTCTACGTCTAGCCAACGACGCAACGTTTGATCACTTGTCATGTATTTTCTTGAATAGTGTTTTATTTATCCCATTACACGTGGATGCGCTTTTATACAAATCGCTTGAGTGCATGGTGATGAACGATAGTGATGACGCTGCCGTCTTAGCTCACCGCTATTGATGGCGTGGTGAATAAATAAGAACTCGTTGAAACTAGCTCAAACTAATACAGCAGCAATGAAACTAACTGAATTACTCAGCAGCTCTGAAACTTTGTCTCCCGTGACACCGAAGAGGCTGAGCCCGTCGGTGACAAAGTTTGACGAACGGAATCCCCAGCAGTGCGCCGCCTCCAAAGTGATTCCAGTCTCCCGGTACTTCTTTTTCCCTCAGCTGATAGACAGCGGCAATGTTCAGCGTCCGGAGATTCAAACTTGCGCAGGTTCCGTCAGTTTTGATTTTTAGAAACCGCGGATGTCAAAGTTCAGTACTGGTTCAGAAGTGCTGCATTTACGGGCTTGATTTGTCTCGCATGGTTCGCATGTGAATCTGTACTGTTTCGTAAATCGCGGTACTGTTTTAGGACTTACCTCGACGGTGGTGGTACTGGGCGGCAATGGTATTTACTTATGACAGTACCGTCGGCGTTAGGATGGCGATGACGATGACGACTAGTTGGTACAAGAAGAGATAGGGTTGTCGCAACTCGTAAGCCTCCATGGATCCTGTGATGTATCGTCCGTTCCGCCAGCGTGAGAGCTGCCAGCCGGCAGTGCGCGTGATAAATTGACAACGTGCTCGCAGCGGAATCTTCTCCACTAAAAACACATGTTCTAAGACGATGGATGTGCCGCCACGTCGTTACCCACCCAGGGCCTGAACATGCCGGCGGTGTAGTTTACAGAGTCGCCCTCAGTCACGGAAACGTTCGAATAACGGATGTCACAGATATTCTCCAAATGCTGGCTGGTCCCAGGGCTTGTCCTGTCGTCGCTGCGAAGAAGCGCAAAATGAAGTCCTCTCCACCAGTAAAGACCGGACGCTGTTGATTGCTCTGCTATATCTATCGCATATGCTCCTTAAATCTTGTTATTTTTCTCAAGCTTGCCATTCGTCGGCGATCCCCGCAGGACTTCTCAGTTTGGTGATTGAGCTAGTTCACAGTAACGAGTGACGGTATGCCTTGCCGAGTGTTTTATTGTCTCATAAATCACGATAGAGCAACCTCACTCCAGTCCCTCACCCTCTTCAGGCCCTTAGTCCAGTATATAGTATAAGACACAGGACTAGTAACTCAGAACTTGTAACAGTCTCGCATAATACAGCTTAATTTGGCGGATGAATAGGTGACTATAACTATGGTATATTTTGTTTTGCTACCTTGACCCAATATGTCCTTTTACAAAGACTAGCTTTAAAACACTAGCAGCTGAATTTTTACCCGAAATGGATCCAATGGAGGCTCCGATGAAGCGCGATTCTGAAAGAATGCCATCCAGTTTCCTGTCGATTTCATGTGAAACATGAATATTGTCTAACATGTCGATCTGCCGTCATTGAATCAATACTGTGGGCTGATCAATGTTATTCGAGTGATTTAAGGCGACTTCCTTATATCGTAGTGAACCTCCTTATTTTGATTCATTCACATGCTCGTCACAAACAGGAACATGACGATGATAAGAAT